CTCTCTCTCCTTTCCTCTCACTATAAAGTGCCTATTTCTTAAGAAAAAAAAGGCGGGGGGGCAGGTCAGGCGAGGTAGAGTCCAAAAATTATAGTCTGATGAAATATTGTTAACCAAAAAGAGTATAAAAATGAATTATTAGCCCCAGCCATTGTGGCTCAGTTGGTTGGAGTGTTGTCTGTAAAATGAAAGGCTGTGGGTTTTATTCCTAGTCAGAGCACATGCCTAGGGTACAGGTTCAATCCCCAGTTGGGGAGTGTATGGGAAGCAACCAGCTGATGTTTCTCTCTTTCTCTCTCCCTTCCTCTCTCTCTAAAATCCTTCAATGAGTTTTTAAAATAATTTAAAAATAAAATCAATACGCATGCCCTCAGCCGAGGATAAATTTTTTTTTTATGAATTATTAAATAGATGGTTTTAAACTACTGGCAAGTAATGCAGTGATCTATAAACACTAGTGTAAGATAGCAAAATAAACGAACATCTAATTTCATTTTCTTTCTTTGACAGGGTGTCTAGCCTAGGATCCCAGGTATATACGTATATCAGAAACAGAATATATTTAGATTACAACAGGGCACCTCTTAATACTGTGTAAGAAATATAGGATAGATGATAAAACAGTAGGTAGATTCATAAATGAATTTTACCCAAAAGGTTGATTAATGGATTAATAACCTAATGATAGTGTGCTGATGTTATAGCACTGCTTCACTTTATTTTTACCAGTGACCTAAAACAAAAACAGAGGTGTCATTTTTATATAATTTCTCTATCAATGATACAAAGATATAAGGAATGCTCAAGAGACTAAACAAACATTAACAAGCTAAAACAATAAACCCAAACTAACAAGATGACAGTTACAGAGGTAAAGGTAAAGTTCTCAATTACATTAAAAAAATTAATTACACAGTCCTGACTGGTGTGTCTCAGTTGATTGAGTGTCTTCCCACAAAGCAAAGGTTTGCCAGTGCGCTTCCCGATAGGGGCACATGCCTGGGTTGCAGGTCAGCTCCCTGGACAGGGAGCATATGAGAGGCAACCCATTGATGTTTCTCTCTCACATCAATGTTTCTCTCCCACTCTTCTCCCTCCCTTCCTCATAAAAATCTTTAAAAATTAATTAATTACACAAATTAATGTGATCTTAGGCTTTAACAATCGAGGTAGAGTACAATAAAAAGAGACCACTCTTTCCTACATTTTTACTGATCAGATTATATCTGAGATGTTATATTCAGATCTAGATAAAAAGCCCCAGAACCTTAGGCAACTAAGTTGGTGAGGAGCCTGAACTTTATTAAAAATGTCATTAATGCTGTTTTTGTACAATATAATTGAAGAAGTGTCACAGATTATGAAATGCAATTATTTTATTTGAGGTTATTTTATTGAATTCATGTAATTTTGAAATATTAATATTTTATTCATGTCTGTAAAAAGACTCTAAGGAATTCACTTATTTCCTTTGAATTTCACTGTTCAGAAACTTTTAGAATATATACCATTAAAGTTTATATGTGAGGAAAAAAAAATGTCATTTAAGGAATTGCTGAAAGACCTTGAGATATTTATCCCAGTAATAGAAGCCTTAAGAAGACATAACTGTCACACTGGCAGGAGTGGCTCAGTGAACTAAGCGCCAGCCTGTGAAACAAAAGGTCGCTGGTTTGATTCCCAGTCAGTGCACATGCCTGGGTTACAGGCCAGGTCCCCAGTTGGGAGCATGTGAGAGGCAACCAATCGATGTATCTCTCACACACTGACGTTCTCTCCCTCTCTTCCTCCCTCTCTCCCCCTCTCTCTAAAAGTAAACAAATAAAATTTTTTTAAAAAGGACATAACTCAATCAGTATTTGAAGGGCTACCATGTTGACAAGGAATTAGGTTTATTTATTGTAGCTTCAGATAGCAGAACAGAAGAGCTTCAGCCCAATGTAAAGAATTCTCTAAAAGCAGAGCTCCAAAATGGAACAGGGTATCTGTGAAGTGGGGATCTTTTCCTTATAGTATTTGAAAGAGACCTTCCCCCAGGGATTCCAAATGTTATGGCTTTTCACATTTCTTGAATATAGAAATCATGATCTCAAAAGAAGCCTGTTAGAAGTACGTAACGTTCAAAAATGAGAAACTTAAGAACGGTTTTCTTTGACACGTTTCTAAAGAGATGGAAAACTTTTAATGAATTCCGAAGTCAGTACCATTTTCAGAGAAACCAACAAAAGAAATTAATGCTTTTTCTTTTTAATGAATGTTGCATTTATTTTTCTCAAAGAAACATTTGCACCATAAGTTTAGTCTATCAAGGAGTGAGGGGCAATTAAACACCAGCTTGCCAACTAGTCACAAGAAGAGAGGTGTCTTTATTAGACATTTATATGTTAATGCTATTTGCTCCATACAAAACTTCCCCACAAGACAAGGCTCCTCCTTATCAGACGTGGATAGGAGGCTGCTGTTACACTGACTCCCTCCTACAGCAGCCTAAGAAAAACTCAGTCTTGACATGTACAAAACAGTAACTTGTGAGAACTTCAGAGCAGCTGTGTCCAGGCAGAGCTAGGGACTTTACTTGAAGCAAAGTAGTAGCTTAACAGTTGGTTGAAAAACAATTTTCATTTGGGTTAGAAGTGGAGAGAGGAAAAAGAAAGGAGATACAGTAAGGATATCCATTAAAATTTAAAAGCCATGATAAACAAAATATGCTTACAAATTACAACACAGAAACTACCATAGGATGTAACCTTTGATACACAAATTTACACATGAGCATTCTCTAGCTTTTTGCTAACACTAATGAGAAAAACAAATCTTGCATTCAGTAGTGCCCAAATCAAAGCCAATCACAAATTCTAGGATGGAAGACTAACACAAGGGACTTTGCTACCTCCTTGGTTATTTTTCTGTGCTGCTGCCAGGCAAACTGTGAAAATGTCTGAATGTCCAATAGTAATACTCTGAATGTGAACTACAGGAACCAATTCAGTAAATAATGCTGAAGGATCAGTAATTAATTGGTCTCAGTGTGCTGTATGGGTGACTTCCTGGCCAGGAGAAAAAGCCTCAAATGGTTGCTGGAAACCAAAGGTTAATACTAAGCAACACATTCTGGTTTCTCTTCATGTAACAGCTTTAACAGTATTTCAGACATTATTTTGCTTCTCCAAAGTAAAAGAGAAGAAATGTAATAATAACTAAGTTATTGACTGTATTAGTTCAATTCGTTATTAAATAATTCACGACTATCAAAGGGCAAAGGCTTGTCATTTTTCTGTACAGAATTAAGAACTGGTAAGACTGCTTAGTATAGCTGCCAAACTTTTCTTCAGTTTCTTTTCTTACAGACATGTTACATTTCGCAATAGTCTCCACTTACCTTACGTCCTCCATATTTAAGTACAAATTGTATTTGATTTCCTCAACTCTTGCCCTAAGATATTATGACATATATTTAGCTTCTGAGCCTGGACACAAAGGAAGAAACCGAAATTTTTTTACTTTCCTAAAATATGTGTCCATTTTATTTACACTATTAAAAAAATAAGCTAGCTAAAACTAACTGCAACCATCCATTGAATAACTTATAGAATATGACTGGGTAAAACACATTTAACAAAACAAACCAATTTAATATATTTTCTGTGCTTCGAATACCTATCAAGATTGATGTCTCTACAAGAATTATAATATTATACTATACTGATTCTTCTAAACATAGGAACCAAGTGGGCTTGCTGAGAAAACTTTGCACACCTCCACAAACCTATACTTACTTACTTATGACACAACCCTTAGAGATACTAAAACACCCCTGTTAAGTAGAAAACAAACTTTTAAAGTTAGGAAAGTAGCAACAAGGGAATCTGGGTAGGAGGTGCACTGGGTAGTAAACACCCCAGTCAGAGAACATAACAAGTAATTCAGAGCAACATATAATTCCTTATGGGGCTCCAACTTGGATCGCTCATGTCCCAGTGCCCCATCCCTGAGTCAGGAAGAGATGAAATGTGGGAAGAGGAAGAGAGGGGAAATAGGAAATCAGAGAAGTGATGAAAGTGTTCTTTTTTTTTTTTTTTCTCCAACTCAACCCCTATCCAGCATTCTTGCAGCTGGTCACCAGAATGGGTGCCATATCCACCAAAAGCCCTAAATCAGTATCCCGTTTCTTCTGATGCTTAAGATTCAAGACCTGTACATATCAGCCGTCTCCTTTTCAAACATCTCCCTTGTACCTCTGGATTCTCCTATACCCTTCTCAAAGTGATGCCTTTTGGCTACTAAGCCCACCCCTACTTAAGTCTTCCTAAACTCATTGACTTAATTTTTTCCAAATCTATACTTTTTCTAATACCATGTCCCTCATATTCTTTTTATAATTCAACAGAAATGCCTTAACTCTCATTTCCGATGATTTACCCCACCTGTATTCCCAGCCAAACTCAGTGCCATGTTTTCACCTACTTATCACTACCTCCTGCCTATTGCACCCTGCTTCTTCTAATGCCAAGCCCCTAGCCCCACTCTTTGAGAAGCCAGTTTAGTCCCCCTCTCTTTTCTCCCCTTCCACCCTATTCCATGATGCTTCCATTAGACCACTTTACAATTCCACTCCCTCAGGATTCAACTCCCCTCTTCTTGCCACGCCCTGTGCCCCCCGGGGCTACTTACCCCCAAGTTCTCCCCACACTTCAGGCCTCTGGCCCCGCCTTCCCCCCCAAAGGAAGGAGGCAGGAGGAGGGAGAAGAGGGGCGGCACTCCGCAAGGTAAAGGCGATCTCCCATTAGTGCTCATCGCCGCCAATCGTAGCTTCCTTCTCTCTTATTGGCCAAGGTTAGTCCACGCCCCACCCTCTTCCTCAGACAGGCCCGGCCACCGCCTCAGCGCCCCCGTCCAACACAGCCTGGGAGGGGAGACACTGCCTGGGACCCTGGGACTGGCCAGACTTGAAGGGGAGACTCCCGTCATATCATGGACTAGTTAATGTTAACAGGACTCACCCGCTGGTAGCTCCGTCGCCTCCCGCCCGCCCGCGCTCGGTCCCACAATCTGTCTCCAGCTCCTTCTTTCCCCCCTCAGCGGAGTAGCTACTTTCCTCTCGTCCGGCCAGGAGCGCTCGCCTCTCGCGAGATATAGGAGGGGGGAGGTGGAGGAAGTGCGAGATCCGTAGGCCCAGAGTTGGAAGGGGGCCGAGGGGCGGGGCTCAGGGAAAACGTTGGAGCCAGACTTTTAGTGGCAGGGTTGGAGAGCGTGGCTGGACGAGTTCGGGACTCGTAGAGTACACGTGCTAGCTTACGGGATGTAGGGGAAAAGGAAAAGAAAAAGAAGGAAAGGGAATCCTCACAGGTGTCTGTAACAGTGAAGATGCAAAAAGTGAAGTATGTATCCTAGGACATAAAATTATCTCAATGGAGCGCACTTTAAAAACGAGACAAAATTATACCTTAATAAAGCTGTTTAAAAGAAAAAAAGGGGAGGAAAAACCTGAGGGAGGTACACAGGGGATTCAGCGTTCCGAAGAGTTGAGTAGTTTCATTTTTTTCTTTGCACGTAGAGTAGCATCACTGTGGCAATAATCTGAAACTAGCAATTTTTTTAAAAACATGTGCATGTTGTTCCTACTGTCCTCCAGCTCATGACTTCTTAATGGCAAAGCAGTTAAAAATACTTTAGGCCCTAGAACTGGAGTGAATGTATTGAAAGTCAAGACCTCAGCACAGCGATCCTACCTCATCTAGTCCTATGGCCTTGGCTGAAATGCTTCTCTGAGTCTTTACAGTGGAGTTAGCAGTCCCATTCTACTTAAGGAATTGTAATGATCAAATGAGGTAATATACAGGGTCCTGCGGAAGTAAGGCTTGCCTGAGTGTGGTTGGTGGGGTAATAATATGGGTGTAATAATTTATAGTTTTAATTTGAACATTTCACTGAAAATGTCATATGGTGTGCTTGTGTGATATTATGTTACAGAATTACATGCTTATAATTTTGTAATAAAAGAGGGATGTTATTTGTGCTGGGCCCTGTATATGAAACTGCTTGAGAATTAAAAATCACTATATTTATTACTCACCAAGTATTTTAACAAACATTTAACAGGACATATGTGCAAAGCATTCTTCTAGGCACGGAGAGAAGAGCCTAACAGACCAGGTTCCTGCACTGGTATAATTTATATTTTAGTACAGAGGAAGAGACAGTTAATAAGACAATAAACACAAATATTTCAGTTAGTGGAGAGTGCTTCAGGATAATGAAGCAGAAGGTGATTGAGAATGGAAAAGCAACTTTATACCTGATGTTGACAGAAGGCCTCTTTGAAGAAGTAACTTTTGAACCAGGAGTTGAATGATGATGAGACAGCCTCAGGAAGATTTGGGTGGAGACCTCAAATGCAAACACTGTATTAAAATTTTTCTCATATGAGTAAATAGAATAAGGAAGATATATGGAGAGTTCCAGAAAGAGTAAGAGACAGAAAATTTTCAGTGAAGAGAGAAAAGTTGTTGGCTTCAGAAAGCAGGATCATCATTGAAAGGCAAGCAGGAAAAATATTTATACAATGTTAATACGAGGTACTAAGAGATAAAGTCTTGCCAGGGAAAAAGCAATCTGTAATGACACATTTGTAGTATTTCTCATATCACTATTAAAAACGGTGACAAAAAAAAATTCTCATATGGTTACCAAGATAGTAAGTACTATGTTATTTTTTTTCTACAACTTTTTAAAAAAACTTTTTAAAATGTGCCTAGGGAGAGTGGACTCAAAATAATGCCTATGGAAATTTCTTTTCCCTCAAGTAACTTCCTTCTGCTCTTCTGTATTATTCAGTTTTCTGAACTTCCTGCCTAGGATCTCATGTATCCTCATAGCACCCTAGATAGATTGTTTCTATTCAAGGTAGAAAGAATCCAGGTTATTTCTCTTTGGTAGCAAAGGTGACACCTCAGCATAGAATCATTTATGTCCTTGTGAAGTGAATTGAGAAAAGTCGAAAGGAGTCTTGGCTTCCAATCTACTCTCCCCTAAAACAATTTTTACTTAAAATAATACAATTATAGAAAAAGACCCTCAATCTAAATGGGACATTTGTATGTAACAGAGGTAGCATTAGAAATAAGAGAGGAAGGGGGTTCTACAAATTGTGCTAGAATAATTGGCTATTGCTCTCTTCATACAAAAAAAACACAACTAATATTTAGAGATCTTACTACGTTCCAGGAAGCATTCTAAGTGTTTTATATGTATGTATTTTTTTTCCAAATTTATATCTCCAACCTGTATCTGTCCCCTAAATTGCAGTCTAATGTCTCCAACTGCCTGCTTACTAAATCTGTTAGGATAGCTAATCGGTATTTCCAATTTACCATGTTCAGACTCTTCCTCTCTCTTTCACATGTGGCAGTCCCCTAGTCTTCCCTATGTAAAAGGAACCTCCATTGTCCCAGGTGTATTTTTAAAATTGAGATATAATTTACATATCATAAATTCACCTTTTTAAAGTGATTTTTATTCATTATTTTTATTAAAAGTTTGGCGATTTTTAATGTATTCACCAAGTTATGCAACTATCATCAATATCTAATTCCAGAACATTTTATCTCCCCAAAAAGAAACCCCATACTCAAAAGCAGTCACTCTCCATTTATCCCCCACCAATTTTTGGCAACTACAAGTTTACTTTCTGTCTTTGTGAATTTATCTGTTACAGATATTTTATATAATTGGAATCATAATATGTGGCCTTTTTTGTCTGGATCCATTCATTTAGCATAATGTCTCTAAGGTTCATTCGTGTTGTAACATATATCAGTAATTTATTCCTTTCATGGTGAAATAATATTCTTTTGAATGGATACACCAATTTTTGTTTATCCATTCATCAGTTGATGGATATTTGGGTTGTTTCCACTTTTGGGCTTTTATGAATAATGTTGCTTTGAACATCCATGGGCAGGTTTTTATGTAGACATAGCTTTCAATTCTCATGATATATACTGAAGAATGGAATTACTGAGTCATATGGTAAGTCTATGTTTAACTTTTTGAGAAACTGCCAAACTATTTTTTGACAGCTGTATCATTTTACATTCCCACTAGCAATGTATAAATGTTCCAATTTCTCCATATCCTTACACCAACACTTGTATTCTCCATCTTTCTGATTTTAGCCATTCTATTGGGTATGAAGTGGTATCATAGTGGTTTTAATTTACACTTCCCACCAAGAATGCACAAGGATTCCCTTTTCTTCACATCATTGGCAACACTTGTTTGTGAGATAATTTTTTTCTTTTATTTTTCAATTACAATTGACATTCATGAAGTAATTTTTGCATATGGTATGAGGTAGGGGTCCAATTTCATTCTTTTGCAGGTAGATACCCAGTTGTCCCAACACCATTTGTTAAAAAGACTGTTGTTGCCCTGGCTGGTATGGTTCAGTGGATTGAGTGCTGGCAACCAAGAGGTTGCTGGTTCACTTCCTGTTCAGGGCATGTGCCAGGGCTGTGGGCCAGGTCCCCAGTTGGGGGTGTGCAAGAGGCAACCATGTATCTCTCACACATTGATGTTCCTATCCCTCTCTTTCTCCCTCCCTCCCCCTCTCTCTAAAAAAGTAAATAAAAATCTAAAAAAACAAAACAAAAGACTATTCTTTCCCCCATTGAATTGTCATAGTACTCTTATAAAAATTAATTGACATTGACCTTAAATGGTTGGACTTATTTTTGGAGTCTCAATTCCGTTCCATTGTTCTGTATGTCTATTCTTATGTCAATATCAAAGAGGCTTTACAACTGTAGCTTTGTAGTAAGTTTTGAAATCAGGAAGTGTGAATACTCCCAACTTTGTTCTTCTTTTTCATGATTACTTTAGATATTCTGGGTCTCTTGCATTTCCATGTGAATTTCAGAATCAGCCTCATCAGTTTCTTTAAAAGAGCCAGCTAGGACTTTATGGACAGTAAAAAGGGGCCACATGCTGACCTGACAAGCTCAGGGAAAGCCCATGTGGAGGCCTTGCAAACCCAGAGACCAAAAGTAACCACAAAATATGGACTGAAATTAAAACTGATTAACTAAAAGCAGTTTATAGCCTGTAGTCAGGTCCTAGGCTGGAATCTTCCCTCACAAAAATCAGTCATTCCCTTAATTAAGCCTATTGTCTTTTTGCATCTAAGATAACATGCCTTTGGAATGTCAAGGTAACTTCCCTTTTTCCTGACTGCTCCTGGCACAATAATCACATCAGAGCAGAGACCACAAATCCCCTAATTGTTGTTATTATCATCACATTGTGTTAATTGTTGACAGTTAGCTGTCCCGTACCCACCTGCGTAAAAGAAGTTAGGTGCCTATTGTTTTACTTTTTATCCAATTCCAAGTTTTCCCCCATTTTACTTTCTCCTGCCTCCCTAATCTATTGCCAATGGATTTCATGGAACCCCCTTATGCCTGCCTGCTCCTTTGATTGTAATGTATAAAATAAGATGCAAAACTGACATTTTCTGGAGCATTTTCTCAACTCGTTGAGGTTTGGTTTCCAGCAATTGTCATCAATTTGGCTCAAATAAACTCACAAAAATTCTCTGCAAGTTGGAATGTTTCTTACTTTGACAATTTTGATAAAGATTGCACTGAATCTGTGTATCAATTTGGGAAGTATTGCCATCTTAATAATGTTAAGTCTTTAAATCCGTGAGTATGGGATACCTTTCCATGTATTTAGATCTTCCTAATTTCTTTGAACTACGTTTTGTAGTTTTCACTTATTTTGTCAAATTTACTTATAAGCATTTTTTTGTTTGATGCTACTGTAAATGAAATTGTTTTCTTAATTTCATTTCAGATTGTTTATTGCTACTGTATTGAGATACAATTAATGTTCGTTCGTATACTGATCTTATATCTTGCAATCTTGAACGTTTTTTATGAGCTCTTATAGTTTTCTTGTGGGTTCCTGAGGATTTTCTATGTGTGAGATCACATCATGTGCAAATATAGTTTTACTACTTTATCAATCTAGATGACTTTTTTGTTCTTACTTAATTGCTCTAACTAGAACCTCCATTAAATTTGAATGGAAATGACAAGA